GTACGGAAAAAGAAATCTACATATTTAAGAAGAACTTGATCAAGTTAATTTATACTTGGTCTAGCTGGTAATGTTTTTTATGTCAGTCATTTAAAATATATATATATATATAAAATTCACCTTTTCTCTTTTTATTTCTATCGCAAATATATTAATGAAAGACAAAAGCGAAAAACAATATCGTTGTAATAACAATCTAAAATCATATTTGTACAAGTCTCATAGATTTTAAATGAAAATGATATTCAAAACGCGTATTGGACAAAATATTTGTTGACTTATTTCAATGAAATGTACATTTGTGAGTTTATTGTAAATTTTTGTATGCATAAATAAATAACACACAAGTATATATACACACATGAATTGTATTTTCATATTGCCAGAGATCACAAGTATGCACTTATCCGTTAATTTACTTACGAAGAGCTTAGTCGCGAGATTCGCTGTGGAATTAGTCGGAGAACTTGCCGCGGTGGACCACTGTGGGTTAATTAATTCGTGAATGAACGCGTAAACTCGGAAGCTTCATAACTCGCAGGAAGGACACATAAATTCGTCCTGCTTGCTGGTAAACCTTCCATTCTCTTCGAAAGGCCGGACACAGTTGGTCAAAGTTTGATGGTTACGGATTCAGTGGAGTTATGAAATTCTATAACATCGGTTATGAAATTTTCGAATAGTTTATTCGGGATTCATAAAATATTATAGTACGCGTATACGTTGGAAATATCTTTCAAGTACTCGTATTATCTTTTACGATTATTATTATAAGATGCATTTTATTATACAAATGAAACATATATATTGTTCGATTAATTATATTAATAATATTTATATTATATTTTTATATAATAAATATATTAATTTATTTAATATAATACATTATAATGGTATTCTTCTTACTTGTCGAACAATGTTATACATTTTTGAGACTCCCTTGACTCTGTCTGAGAGTACAGATGAGTGGAAAGAAAAGAAAGCTTGTCCGAGAACAAGCAAGAAAAGGACTTTGAAAAGAGAAGGGCTAAAAAGGATGAGAAAAGAAGAGAAAAACTGAATGTTGGGGAGAACGAGAGCAAATCGATTGATATGCAGAGTTTTTCCAATAAGACTGGAAGGGAGCCATTTTATTTCCGGTCGCCCGATCAGTACCACTCGGTCTCTTCGCGAAACCACTTCGTAGAGAGATAGAGGGAGTGGAAAAAGGGAAGAAATCCTGATTCGTCCCTTCGTCTCTATTCTCTTTTCTCTCTCTTTTTCATACCTATATAGGTATATACACACACATATAGATATATATAGTACATAGCAATACCTGTGCGTCCGCATACAACGACATGGTCGTCCCGCATGCAAAAGATAGAACGTGCACCGCAATCTGAACGAAATCTCCAAACCCAATTTCCTGGACAGACAGACGGACGAACTGGTGCACCGCGCATCAGACCGCACGCGGTACAGACTACATCGATCTCTGTGATGACGTTTTAATAATGCATCGATGCACATTCTTCTCGCTCTCCGACGCACGCCAGCACCATTCGTTCTCGATCGTTTCCTGAAATAATCAAATTCATCCGATGGTCGTATGCTTGTATGTATGAATGTATGTTGTGTATATGTATATACATATACGTATGTGTATATATATGTATGTATGTATACATGTATTTACGTATGTATGTATTTTGAGTATGTGGATACGTACAGGAACGTTCTGTTCTGTACAGAAGATCTTGATTTGCGAGAATATACGTACGTGTACATGTACAAATAGGTAGATATGAATTGTACAAGGTGAAAAGGGAGAAGGAAGGGAAAGACGAATTATTGATTTTTATCTTTTTCATGGCTTGACAATTGGACTTTAGATTTTCCGTTATTAAAATTTTAACATGTTCAACAAAAAATTAGAATAGTAAACAATAATACGATCGAAATGTGTTGTTATACATAAATGAAGATAAATGATCATACATTGTAGAATATAATAGAAATAACATTTTATTCTGAATTAATATCATAGAGAAATGGATTAATCAAGTACAGGAATTATTCTCGAGTTTGAGAGTTCATCGGAGAGAGATATGGTAAAGCTAATCAGTTGTCGATTCAGGTAATTTTTACACAATTGCATTAAAGTATGCTAAATTAGCTTCCTATTCTCGGACGTCTACCTAACGTCTGACATTATCGATTTCTCCGGTTACAGAGCTAATATTCGTGTTGCCAACCGTTCCAAAGATAGAAAGACAAATAGAGAATAAGATAGATAGAAGATTCTCTTTCTTTCTTTCTCTTTCTCTCTCTTCCGTGTTGCGTACAGAATTACAGTGAAAATCAACTGTGGAATTGACGTAAGACACATTGATAATGTAGGATAATTTAACGTTTGAAACGTTATTTCCTTCTAATGGCTCGTACTAATTATTGCGAATTTCCTATCAACCGTGAAAATCTGTCTTGCGTGATAAGAGAGAGAGAGAGAGGGGGGGAGAGGATTAGAAACAGAAATAAAAATAGGAATAGAGTAAAAAACAAGAAAGAGAGAGAGAGAGAGAAAATTCAACATTAAGTAGAGCCAGTATTAGATGCTTCAACAAAACGAATTAAACGGACGTTTAATTGCTTCGTCTCGATGCTGTCATTTGAAAAGTAAGTGTCAAGCGTGGTTATCGATTTCCGGTTTTATCGAGGATGATTAGCGAATTCGTTGCACCAGAAGCATCCGAAGATATAAATCGTTCTTCTATCATTGATCCACGCGAGCTCGTATTTAACGTAAATTAAGGTTGACTAATTAACACGATCGTTGAAATATAAAATAATGATGAAAAAGATTTTTCTCCCTCAATTTGATTTCCGATTTTATTTATAGTATATTTCGGGTTGAATTAGCAAATAATTTGTCTCGATAATTGATATGAGTTTATCGTATTATGTTTGAAAATGAGATCGTTGCTAGACTATTTATAGAGATGATGAATAATTTTCTATCAGGACGATGCTAGAGGTTAAAGAACCGAACTACGGTTCATCGGATACGAACTTAATTATCGGATTCTCCTGGTAGGATTCAAAAATAATATTCAACATAATAAAGTCGATGGGTCAATGTGCCCATCGCTTATTAACCGTGTCTTTCGTATACATATCTATATATATATATATATGTGTGTTATATATGTGTTTCGTATAATTTTGGACTCTTATTCCCCTTCGTGAAACTTTTTATTAAATAATAATTTTATCGGGTAAATATCGCCGTTCCGAGGGTAGAATCATAAGTTCATCGACCATGGTAGATTAACACGGACACATATATATACGTCTCGTAATTTTATAAACGAGAATTATCTATTTTTAGAAAAAAAAAACAACTATTTATCGTGAAATGATTTTCACGGAAAGATAATTGTAACAGAATTGTAACGGAACATTTAGAAATAATTCGAAATGGAATTTGAAATTAATCGAGGTATTATAAATTTATTCAAAATATTATTAACATTAATGCGTTAGTTGTGATTAAAGGAAATCACACTTATATCATTTATAATTTATAATATTATATTTTTTTTATCTATTTTAAAAAATATTAAACATTTGTATATATATCTTTCTATTTATGTATACTCGTATTTTGAAATATAAAATATATTTATAGAACGAATATTAAAAATTTTAATTTGATCCGTTTCAGGTGAAAGTCATGCTAAGGGTATCTCCAGGGGATGGTGGTAGTTTCTTCAATGCCGATAAACGAAAAAAACAAGTGACTTTGGTTGATCCAGCATCCGGTCAATCATCTTCCGCTGAAGATCGTAGGCCAACAGTGGCAGCACCGAAGATGTTCGCGTTCGATGCTATATTTACAGAGGAAGATTCTCAGGTAGATACAAAAAAAAAAAAACATTCATGTTAAAAAGATAGTGAACATTTTTCAAGTGAAAACTCGATATAAAAAAAAAAAGAAAAATCTCTTTTCTGACAATAATTTAAAGAAATAATATTAAATAAAGTTGACATAACGTTTACAAAATTCGTAATACAAGAGGGTTTATTATATGTAAAGGGGAAAAAAATTAAAAACAAAAAAGAGATAGATAACAAGATAAAGAAGGGAAAAAAAAGCTTGTTAAAATGCTAAATCTTTCATTTTTTTTTTTATCTCTTAAAGTACGACGTACTTAAAGCAATCGACGTTGTTATGACGTACAAAAAAAAAAAGATTATTTCTAAAGAAAGAATCCGTTCAAGAAACAAAATGGATTTTCGATCTTAGAGAAGTATCCTCTTGACGTTCCCTTTTATAAGTACGAACGTTAATATCGACGCTAGTTAAACTTGTTTGCGACTAAAATATATATATACATTTATAAATCTTTATTTCTCTTTCCATCTCTTTTTTTTTCTATCCCCTTTAAAAGAAAATTTCCTCTCGTTTTCTCTTCATCCCTTTTTCTTAGAAAGATTTCTCTCGTTCTTTCCTCTCACTTTCTCAATTCTTCAACGATCTCGAACGACCTCGAACGTTCAAGATACAGGCAGAAACTAAAGAAGGATAGGTAGAGATAGAGAGATAGTATGAGAGAAAGAGATAGAAACAGAGATGAGAGGTGTACGTGCCTCGTCGACGACTTACGTTCATTCGAGAAACGCGAGAGACGTCCCTGCCGGGCGCATAACTAAACTAATTTCCCGACCTCTAAACTCCACCTCCGACAGGAAAATCCATCCCCTTAGGCAAGTGTTGCTCTTTGCCCTAGACACCCTCTCTCTTTCTCTCTCTCTCTCTCTCTCTCTATCTCTCTCTCTCTATCTCTATCTCTATCTCTCTCCTTCTCCTTCTTCTTCAACGTACAACTGGAAGTAATTCTACCGGTTCAGGTAACGATGCCCGATCTTTTACCTGATTTCCGTTTTCTAATCGTATGAAAGTCTTTAACCCCCTTCGCTTCAAATGTTTTTTTTCTCTCCATTCGATATCTTAACTTGTTAAATAGTGTGGTTGGAAACTATGAAAAACAAAAAATAACGAATACTCTTATTTATCTTACGTAAATGCATCGAAACTTTGTTCAATTGCAAATAATGAAAGAGGTAGAAATGCATTTTTGGAATGGACGCAAAGGAATACAAAAGAAATAGACAGACTGACGCTTTGGCGGTTGTATATCGATACATTTCGATATTCCAATGTTCCCAAAGGACATTACCGAACGTTGGATTCAAATGAACTCACTCAGAGATACTCGGTTTTACTCTGGCAATATCTTTCTGTTCTCCATTTCTTTTTTTCTTTCTTTCTGTGCCCATGAACAAAATTTTCTCTTTCTTTCTCTCTCTCTCTTTCTGGTATCAGTCGACGACAACGAGAATTCTCGAGGGACTACCCGAGCGTTTCCTATCTTTCTCTTTCTCTCTTTCCATCCCTTTTTTTCCACTTTCCAAATTCTCCACGTTCCTGACCGTTTCGGTGTTCGTGTTTAGAAGAACCATAGAAACCAATCGTTTGATTCGATCAAACGTCCATCCGGCTTTAGCCGATTGCCATCGAAAAACACAATGGGCTCTTTCTCTTTTCGCCGCGTCTCTGTGTTACCCTCTCCTCGGTTCCTCCCCCTTTTTTTTACCATCTCTTTCTCCCTGTGTACGTCGGTACCGGTGTGCCCAGAGTACGAGCGTGCCGGAGGCTGGACTTCAGGATCACCATGGGATGAGAGACGATAGTGGAGTAAAAGTACATGAGAATGGTACGGGTCCTACGTCCTCCGGGACCTTTACACTCTCTTTTTCATTCTCACTCTCACTCTTACTCTCACTCTCTTTCTCTTTTTTTTCTCTCTGTATCTCTACCCCTATCTCTCTGGTTGGCTCAACGTAGGTTCGTTTGAATTTTTTAAGAGTTACCATCGACGAATCGACCTGCCTGTTCATCTTCAAACAGCTTTACATTCCGACGTCTTTTCAAAAATTTCACGGTCCGTTCGACGTCCAAATCGATTAATCGAAAAGTTTTACAAAGAGTTAGAAGAATTCTCAAAAACAACAAATAGAAAATATTTGTGGATTTTGATTTTTCCTCCAGTAAAAGATTTTAATCCGACTAGACTTTATTATTTGTTAGATAAATCAGTAGGTGTGTATAAATTGATCTAATTATGCTAAAAGATAAATTAAACTCTACTTGAATTATGTTTAACGTTAACGTATGTATCTCTCTCTGTAGATCTTATTTACCTTGACACAGTAATCTCGTGGGAGTAATATTTTCAAAGTCGGTCAGTAACAATAAAAGGGGGCCGGATGGAGGTTAATGGTCGTTAAACGGTCGCAATATGACATATAAACGACTTAGAATTGTGACGATATCTAACTCGGTATACTTTCTTTATCTTTGATCAACGTGGTTTTATCTATTCACAAAGAATACAGAATCGATAAACGATTAATCATACAATTTAGTAGTTTTTATACAACGTTTTATAGTTACTATGATCGATTAATCGATTACATAGATTAGATTATCGAATTTGAGGAAAGAAATGGACCGTTAAGCGATAGGTCTATTGGCTTACGACGATCATTCGATATTGCATTGTAATATTATACGAGACAACCCGCATTTCTCTTAGCTGTCAAGGACACACAAGTTCCATTCCTCTTTTAAATTATATAAGAATGGATACGCTAGTGTAGATACACATCGAATGTGTCCTATACTAGTTCCCCTACTCCATATTCCTTTTCAAGGAAAGAAAAAGAGATAGTAAGAAGGGAAAAGGGATTCCCCTTTGAAAAAGTTTTTCTTTCGGTTAAGTTGCATGGAAATCAAAGGGGAAAATAAAAAAAAAAAAGAGACAAGAAAAAGAGGAAGGGAAGAAAGAAGAGCTTTTAAATCGAATCAACTTATACGAGTTCGTACGTCGTTAGATCAGCTGAGATTAGATCGTTTTCTTTGAATCAAATGCGACATTTATTTACGATCAATGTCGTCTATTAAGTAATGTTTCATCATAGATTAAACAAATGTTAAAAATTACACATTTACGAAGAATAAAAATGAATCTTTATTGGATCAAATGTAACTAAGAAAAAACAAAATTTATTAGTTGAATTCTTTCGTGTTCTTAAATGTCCTGTACCTTTGAAAGCTAACACACACACACACACACACAGATAGAGAGAAAGAGATAGAGATAGAGAATTCTGCCAATAGCCACGTGCATAAATGAATCCCGACCGAATTAATCGAACATCCGTCTCAATTACTCGGAGCTCCGTTCACGTTCACGTTCACGATCACGTTCAAGTCGGGATCTATTTCTCATGCATGTACGTATATACATATATAGGAACATGTTCATACATATACAGGTACACGCTTAGGACAAAGATAGGCGCATAAGCGTCTCGAATAGCTGCTATAGTAGGCTGACAATTCCATTCCCGGCGGCTATCCTACAGGACAATGCACCCTGCCTAGGATAATTCACTGGAGCCATTATACCTCCGTCCGGACAAGGGCTTTATTATTGACTTACGACTAATAGTCACGCTGTGGATTATGCGATCGTGCATCTGTGTGCACTACCTGAAATGCGCTTGCGTGTGAAACTCCGTGAGAGATACCCCTCTATCTCTACCACCCACCCCCCTACCCCTACCCCTACACCCTTTTCTCTCCTCTCACCCATGCCATACACAAGTATGCAACTACGTGGCTTCGATCTATTGCTCATTTGATAGCGAATACTGATTGAACGAGAAACCCTGCGAGACCGATATAACCTTGCTCGTTCCATTCCTTCTCTCTTTTACCCCATTTTCCTCTTTTTCACATAACTATATATGATATCTCGATATATATTCACGATAAATTTTGATAAGATGGATCGTAGAAACTTTAGACGAGATTTCTTTATCGATCAATTTTTTTTCCCCCCCGAACAAGATTCAATTTCTTTTTATTTGTTTTACGAATATATGATATCATAGGTAAATGTATTTAAAAAAAAAAAAAAAAAAAAAGAAGAAAAAAACAGTCTATGATCAAAGGACATGGTTTGAACGTCGATCGAAGATCGAGATCTTTGAATAGTGACGTCAAATAAGCTTAATCATAGATAGCGATAGAGATGAACGAAAAGGGGTTAGAGAGAAAGAGAGAGAGAGAGATTGAGGGGAAAGAAAAGAGAGAGAGAGAGAGAGAGACGGACAAGCACGTTCGTTCTACGGTAGACGTAGCGTAATCTGAAAACCAATCATACGGGCTCCTAGCACAATGCGATCCTCTTCGTCTCTCTTCCACGTTTCCTCCTCTTGCTCTCTCCCATTTTGAACCGAATCCGATTTCCGCTATCTTCTAGAATTGCGGATTTCCATATTGTGCCTGTATATTAATCCGTGGCTTTGACCGGAGTCAGGAAAGGCTGATGAAGTTCGAATGCCGTACTGTCCAGAATGAGAGAGACAAAGAGAGAGAAAGAGAGAAAGAGAGAAAGAGGGAAAAGAGAGATGGAGAGAAATTCCCTAGAGTTAGAAGATTTCAAGATATGACTTATCCTATATGATAAACTTGGAAAATACCAACATAGGAATGAAAGAATTTCCAAGTTGAAAAAAGCTAGAACATTTCACAGTTTGTCTTTGTATAGGCCAATGAGAGAACTTTTGAAAATGAAACAAACTGCTTGGCCTTGTAGGTACACAAAACTTTCCTAAGTTAATTCCTTTCGTTAAAGCAAATTAGAAAGACGAGACTAGCTTGTGAGAGAATAATGAGAGAAAGAGAATAGGAAAGAAAGGAAATCTAACCATTTTACTTCATAGACAAGAATTTTCTCTGTTATTTCAACTAACAGATTAAACGAATACTCCCTTTAATTA